TTTTCTGCCTCTGTTGTTGTTGGAGTCTCGGATTCATTTTCTGCCTCTGTTGTTGCTTGAGCCTCGGATTCTTTTTCTGCCTCTGTTGTTGTTGGAGTCTCGGATTCATTTTCTGTTTCTGTTGTTGATTGAGTCTCAGATTCGTTTTCCGTTTCTGTTGTTGTTGCTTTAGCTGAAATCTCTGTAGTGGTGATCTGATGTGATTCTTTGATTGTTGAAATTTCAGGTTCTGCCGTTAACGTTGTTGAGGGTGCCTCAAATTCGAGCCTCTCTGTTTCGGTAGATGCCGTACCGACACTCGTTGTTCCTTTACCTTCACCAGTTGCTGGAGTAGTTGATTGAGAATGCATTTCAGATTTACTCGCTTCATCCATTTCATTTGCTCTTGACGATGTTGCTTCAACCTCTGGTTCGAAGGTGGTTTTAAATTCACCTTCGATTGTTGTCGGTCCTGGTGCATAAGTATTTTCGTCAGTTGGTTCTTTTGGTGTAGTGATTGCTGAAGAAATATTTGAAGGTACCTCTGTAGAAGATGTTTTTTGATCGCGTGCGTTTGTTGACTCATCTTTTGTATTTTCTGAAGCGGTTGTTGATGACGTTTCTATACTGTCTTTTGCAGTCGTCGACCTCACATCTGTTGTCAGTCCCTCTTCCACTGCTGAGGTTGTAGTTGTGGTTGCAACCTCCTCACCATCCACTTCTTCGCTTTCCTCACCACCGATTTCTGTTTCCTTTTCCGTCGTTCCCTCCACCTTTCCTCCAATTGTCGATGCCTCATTCGCTTCTGTAGGTATATTTGTAGGCAAACTTCCCTCTGTAATAGTTTCTTCATTTTCCTCACCACCAATTTCTTCCTCCTTTTCGGTCGTCGTAGTCGGATGGTTTGTTGATTCTACGGAACCCTCTGTCACTGCAGTTGGTAACAGCTCTCCTTCTGACTCACTAGATTGAGCTTCTGTTGCAGTTGAACCACCTTCAGTCGTTATTCCTTCAGTTTCATGTTCATCAATTCCACTACCTTCTTCGGCTTTGAGTTCAGGCAGAGCAGTTTTTTCTGTTGTGGAAATGAATTCTTTTTCTTGTTTCCACGTTATTTTGTCCTCCTCAGCTTCGCCAGATCCTTCTGCGGACGACGTGGATGCAACTACAGCTTCTGATTCAAGGGTTGAACTCTCTGTTTCTTTTGAAACTTCAGGTGTTACACTTACTGTACTTTCTTCTTTTGATTCAGTCGTCCGAGAAACTGATTGTGGGATGCTTGTTGTTGTTGTCTCTTCCTCCAGAATTCCGTACGTTTTTGCCTCGTCTTTGGTTGATTTCTCACCAGACAAGGTTGTCGATTCGATTTCCAGGGGATTTGAAGACACTTCCTGTGATGAAGTTATTGATTCTCCCTCCGCAGTTGTCGCTGATGCTTTTGTTGGTGAGGTCGTCAATTTTCCTTTCTCAGCGGTTGTGAGCTCTTCCGGCTGTACGGTTTTGGACAGCTCTTCCTTAGATTTTGTGGATTCCTCTGCCAGTATGGTCGTTGACTCTTCTCCCTCACTGATTGTAGATACACCTGGTCGCACTGTAGACTTTTTCTCTTCAAGAATCGTTGTTGGCTCCTCGTGTAATGTCGTCAATTCGGATTGTTCTTTGACACTGCTTCCCTCGTTTTGCAATGTTGTAGTTTCGATTCTTTTCTCAGCTCCCAACGTTTCTTCACCAACAATTGCTGGGGTTTGCTTGTCTTCATCAACTATCGCAGTGCTTTCTAATCGTGGTGTGGGTGTTGCTTTGTTACCATACTCTAACGTTGATAATTCTGATTCCGTCGTTGAATATTCTTCACTCTCAGCGGTTGTGGATATTTCTCCCTGTTTAATTGAAGATTTTTCTTGTGTGGCGGTGGTGATCATTTTATGATGCAAAGTAGGTGATACCTCGTTCTCTTCTGTCGTAGAGAATGTTCCGTGCGCCGTTGTCGATTCCTCTTCAACTTCGGTACTAGAGTATCCTGCAGCTGTTGATAACACCTTCTCTTCTGGTGTTGTTTCAGCTTCACCGGATGATGTAGCTGCTTCCTCTTCAGCTACTTTGGTGGTTGCTTCTGTCTCTTCAACTTTTTCATTTGTCTTCGAAGAATCTTGCAACGTTGTTTCCGGAACGGGCGATGCATTTGTTCCTTTCGAAACCACTTCTGTTGTTTCTAGAGACTCGTTAGCTGTGGTTGTTTCAGGACTTTGTGTTGATTCTGTCTCATTCGATGCAAATGCAACAAATTTCGATTTTGGCATTGCAACGTCAACTTCTTTATGAATCACACCAACACCCTCTGCTTCATCTGGAATCGAAGGCAATTCAGTTCTCAATCCACTTTCAGAGGTTCTCATTTCAGTAATCTGTTTTGGTGAATGACTTTCATTGATTCCTTCGCCCGACGTAGATGTTTCTGCTTCGAAGCTTTCCGCCTGCGATTTTGGCTGTCCGTTTTTCCCAATCAACAGCCAACCACCTTTTTCGGCTCTCACTTCACCATGCGATGATTCGCTCGCTGCAAAAATTTCAATTAGAACTTTGAAACAGTATTTTGAACCTTCCTACGTGAAACGTTGAAAATTTCTCTAAAAAGTGTCTCCATTCAACAGTATTCATCTTCCACTTAATAAGGAAATGCATGCTAACAAAAACACAATCAAAACTTTGCAATAACTCGCAAATTCAAGAAATATGCCAAAAGATGCCATTCATTAATACTTCATACGTGATTTTAGTGAATCAACATGCAGTGTGCTTGATAGACTAGGAGGTACTGTAGGTAAACAAAAAAACATAAAACATGCTCACTTTCACCATGCCTAAATCCGTTGATGGTGTATATATTTGATTCACTGTTTGTTTCTGTGCTACTGGTTTTACCATGGAAATGCGTTGTTGTTTTTCGGCTATCAATTTTTTCAGGAACTCCTTTGGTACTTTTGCTGATTGTTGTGCGGTTCACGTGGAAGATTGGGACTTTCCGCTGGCCGTTGATCGTAACAGTAACGTGATCTGTCCGTCCGCGTGAACTGCCGTCCTCAGCGTTAGTCGCGACTTCAGCATTTTCTGATTCTTTTTTCTGTCCACCAAAGACAGTGAGAATGTCCACACCATCTTCACCAATTTCATCTCTCGTTCCCGTAGCAGTCACTTTCCCAACTGTTTCTTGAGAAGATTCTGCATGAGAACCGCTGTTTATTTGAACAGTCCTTCTTGCGCCTTTCTCACCACTTTCTGTTATTTGTCCTCCTTCAATGGTTATTGTTCCACTCATTTCTAAATTCGGTCCTCCAGGAACACCGCCAAGTGCGACCGCCATATGATCACCTTCCTTCTTCATGAGCTTAGATGAACCATAGTTTTCAACCTCACCAGATGTTTGTACTCCTTTATCCACAAACATTCCTCGATGCGATGCTACAGAACTCCCTTGATTCAGAATACTTGCACGCGATATGGTTCCGTTCATTGAAAGGACTGGTTTCTCATGTGAACCACCAATTGCAATTGACACGTGGTCACCTCCTATTCCACCTCCACCCAAATACTGCTCTTGGCGATTGATTTCCCCACCCTCTAAGTCGCTTTTTTCTGTGACGAAACTTTCACCTTTTGTGAACGATCCTTTGTCCCATTCCGAACTCATCGATTTAGCGGACCCGTCACCCGAGACTATAATATGGTGTCCACTGCCTCTAGCGGAGCTTACTCCAGACCTGATCAAGCCTTGTTCGATCTGTTCAGATTCATATTTCCTCGAAGTTTCACCTTTTTTGAACGTTCCTCTATCCCATTCCAAAGTCATCGATTTTGCAGACCCGTCACCCGAGACTATAATATGTTGTCCACTGCCTCTAGCGGAGCCTATTCCAGACCTGCTCAAGCCCTGTTTGATCTGTTCAAATTCGGATTCCCTCAAACCGCCACTCTTTGCTGCGACAGAAGTTCCTTTATTGCCGGATTCTCCTCCTTTCCATTCGTAACTCATTCCTTTCCAAGAACCATCACTTGTACGTTGCACGCCAAGATCTCCTTTTTGACTACCGCTCAAACCGTGTTTGATTTGCTCTGAAGCGAATCCATGTAAAGCAGTTTGTCCTACGATAGAATCTTCTCCATCACGACCGGACGTTGCTCCTTTCCATTTGAAGCTCATCGTTTTCGCAGGTCTGTCACCCGATATCACAATACGCTGTCTATTTTCGCCTGTTACATTCGTTTTAGTAGTTATCGCATCTTCTTTTCCACCATCCGGACCAAATCCACTCAGACGATTCAACCAACTGATAAGACCTTCGACCTGTTCTTTATCTTTGGCCAGTGCCTCAGCATCTAGGCCGATTCCAGCTCCTTCAGCACTCATGTTCCACATACCATTCTCAATTCTACCTCGACCAATAACAACTGCTCCACCGGAGAAATTGCGCCATTCTCCAATCGTTTCCATCCGCCAGTCACCTTTTGCTTCACCTTCACTCGTTGATTGCTCAACTTTATTTGCAATGAATTTGTTGTCGTTGGTTAATTTTAAGCCAGAACCAGTTTTAATGACCAGACCAACACAATTCGTAACATTCGACTGAGTTGTGCAACACTC